CTCATGAGTGGGTCTGTAGTGTTCAGATTCGGTTCAGCATGATAATGTAGCATTTGGGGAGAACAATGCACCCCAGAAGAACAGCCCCAGAGGCCAAGATGCAAAAGATGTCCACAGCCACCTTGGCCTTGCCCTTGGTACTCAGGTAGGTTGGCACGAAGGAGTCCTAAACAGCGAAGAAGACCTGCATGCTGAAGGTGATGCACTTGGTTTTAGTAAAGCTTTCTGGCAGTTTCCTAGCTTGGAAAGCCACTGTGAAGCTCCTCTAAAAGAACCATGGAATCTGGGCAATTCCTGTACAGTTTGGTGAGCCTTCAGGTGGCCAGGCTCTGACCACTGTGTTGGGTCCGTGAAAGCTGATGACCTACAGCCAAAGGTCCACAGTTTAGGAGCTCTTAGAAAGTGGAATTGACATTATGTCCTTGCAGTACTTCTGCTCAGGGTTCACATTCTCTTATTGGATAGCAGAAATCATGAAAAGCTTGAACAGGCCAGTCCAGTGCCACCACACGTCCTTTTCTCCTCCAACGACTCAGCTTCCCAGCTCAGTTCAATTCACCATTGGATGTACCACATTCTTCACGAACTTTTATTTGTTTTTGTGGGGCCACCCCTAAAAAAATCCCCAAATTGGGATCTACTTTTGTTGTGACTCTGCCCCTGAGTTCACAAGAGTACAATACTAGTCACAAAATCATCAAAGTAAAAACTTCCTTAGTTCTACCGTGACATGAACTTCGAACCCACCTTTGGAAATCCACACCACTGTATCAGTGTGAATGGTGAAGGCTTCTCCTGGAAGAACTTCTGGGTCCATCTGTCCAACTTGGAAGCAAGCAGAAGATACGTTTTGCATTAAAATCCAGTTCATAATATCACCCTCCCCTGACCCCAGCATCTCTCTCTCTCTCATTCTCTCTTTGTCTCTGTCTCTCTTTCTCACACACACACATTCTCTCTCTCTCTCAAAAGAGGCTTTTCTTCAATCATTGTTGCTAAGCTAGGCATTCCACAACATAGCAAGAATCTGAAATGGACGAGACAGTAAACAA